AGGACGTGTTATACATGATATAAGCATAAACTCTTTGAGAAAGTGTGCACTTCTTCCCACTTCTTTTTGATATGTAAACCTACACAAAAACAAACAAATAAATGTAATATACCTGTCTGCGCAGAGCAATCCCTCTCAGGGCATAGCCTTTGACATGAGATTTCTTCTTCAGGTTTATTTTCACAAAGTTACCCTCGGTTCCTTTTGCGACTCTGTTAAAACAGGAAAACAAACACATGTAGAAACCTTTCAAAGACATTCTGCTTTCCTCACATGCACTTTGTCCTACCTGGCTCTAGCAGACTGTGCCCGATAGATTTTGTTAACTCCAAATTCTTCTTCTATGTCTCCAAACAAGTTCTCTTGGGGCATCTAGACAGAAGCAAAGCTACATCAGATAATCTCATATAACCTTAAAATAAGACATACAATGCACCCTCCAAATCCCCCCTTGCCTTTTTTGGTCCCTTGGTTTCTTCCTTTCCTTCACCCTCTCCATCACCTTCTTTTTTCTTGCTTCTCTTCTTCTTTCCTGCTCCTCCGTGAGCTGAGCTGGGGCTAACGTCAGAGCTCTCCTCTTTCTTTCTACCACCTCTCCGTCTCTTTTTTACTCCTCCTTCTTCTGTAGTGTTTCCCTCCGTGTCACCCACTTCTCGCTGCCTCTTCTTCCCCCTATTTTTTGAAGCTTTTGTTTTTGGACTGCTTTCATTGTCACCATCAGCTGTTATATGTGATGTCTGTCCTCTTTCAACCTCCTCCTGTCCCTTCCTTTTCTCTTTGCCAACTCCTTCTTTTTTGCTTTTTCCAGAGTTTGCAGTACTAGTAGTGACTATTTTATCCCCTGTTACACTCTCAGACTTTTTACCTCTTCCCATTTCTAATGACTCCTGTCTTTCCCTCTCTATATCTATTTCTTCCTTTGGTTCTTTTTCGACTCCTTGCATTTCCCCTTTTAATTTTTCTCCCTTTTCTACCATCCCTTGTTGCTCCACATTCATCTCCTGGTTGCCTGCTCCAGGCTTCTCCTCTGCTCCCATCTCTCCAAACACCTGACACCTCTCTAGCCACTTCCTGTCAACAAGGCTCAGCCTGCTGGCAGGAGAAGGCCTTGCTCCAAGGCCTCTGCCTCCTCTGAAACCTTCACGAATCTGTGGACTTCCGTTAAAGCCAATTACACTTTCACCACCTGGAGAATCGGTACCTCTATTCTGAGTTTTTGATGTTTCAGCATTTTCTTTTACATCTCCTAAAATGCCTTTAGTTTCACTTCCCATAGTTCTGGCTCCTACTTTTGAAGCCCCTAAATTTCGCTCAGGGGATAAGGATGACAACAGGGTGGAGGATCTGATGGGAGAAGTACTTAAAGCAGAGGTAGTGAATTGTGAACTAATGTCTTTGTTAATGGTACAGCTACCAGCAGCATCTGCAGCTTCATCATTGTCCTGTCTGAACGTTTCAAATGGTTGAAACGGCTCTTCAGGCTCTGCTGGTTGGAGCGTCTTTGAAGCCAGAGATCCCAGGCAAGGATTCATTCTGTAAGCAAAGATGTGATAACAAGGAGGGCTCACATAAATCATCACAAAGTCAC